AGGGAGCAACACATGCAGCAGTGCCAACTCCAACGACACTGGGTGCCTTTCGTGAAGCCCAAGCTCCTGGAGTCATGTGATCACGAGACTCTCAGCTTTATTTATTAATTTTTTTAAAAGGTAAGTTTCCAGGCCTCACGGTTGCAGAGGAAAGCTTGAAAATGTGATCGCCTCAAGGCTACGACACCAGAAACCAAATAAAAAGAACCCTGAAGTTATTTATTTATTTATTTATTTAAAATCTCATGATTTTTTACGCCGCTCTTGTGATTTTTGGAGGGTTTGACATGACTTCTGAATACCTGGGATTAGCTGCTCTCGGGGCCAGCTTTGGACCTGGGAGAGGGGACTGCCCAACACGTCCAACCTGACCCAGACAACGAGAAGTAGCCTCTCGCCCCAGTAACCTTGCTAATTGCATTGAAGGGCAGAAGAAAGGGGCATTTGTCGTCCGCAGCCTGCAGCTTTGCTAGACCCACACTGTGACTCTGCTCGGCAAGCTGATGTCCCATAATGCATTTCAGACAAACACCCGTGGCTAATTACGGACGCTCACCCAAAACCTGGAGCATCCAGACTCCATCAGTAGAGGACAAGTCAGATCAGGGCTGTCCTAAGGTGAGTCATAGACTTTAAGGTCAGAAGGGACCATTATGATCGTCTAGTTTGACCTCCTGCACAATGCAGGCCACTGAATCTCACCCACCCACTCCTGTATCAAACCCCTAACCTGTGTCTGAGCTACGGCAGTCCTCAAATTGTGGTTTAAAGACTTCAAGGTGCAGAGAATCCTCCAGCAAGTGACCTGTGCCCCACGCTGCAGAGGAAGGCGAAAACCCCCCAGGGCCTCTGCCAATCTGCCCTGGAGGAAAATTCCTTCCCGACCCCAAATATGGCGATCAGCTAAACCCTGAGCATGTGGGCAAGACTCACCAGCCAAACACCCAGGAAAGAATTCTCTGTAGCAACTCAGATCCCACCCCATCTAACATCCCATCACAGGCCATTGGGCATACTTACCGCTAATAGGCAAAGATCAATTAATTGCCAGAATTAGGCTATCCCATCATACCATCCCCTCCATAAACTTATCAAGCTTAGTCTTGAAGCCAGATATGTCTTTTGCCCCCACTACTCCCCTTGGAAGGCTGTTCCAGAACGTCACTCCTCTGATGGTTAGAAGTCACTTCATTTCCCAGCCTGCTAGCAAAACCAGATCATTTCACCGGCCAGACGATGGGGCGCTGGAACGAGAGAGGTTCCCTGAATAAGGGGCACTACGCAGCAACATGGGGCGGACCCTAGCATACGCAGAACCAGAGTTTTGAGAGCAAGGATTGTACCGAGAAGGTGGCTGGTTCTTTCCTGTAATCAGATATTTCAAATTGAGGAGAAAAGCTGAAGCAGCTTCAGTTTCAAAATAATCCTCATGACAGCAGTGGTGCATCTTTATCCCACCGCCTTGCAGATTGTTATTCTGGAGCAGTGGCTCTCAACCTTTCCAGACGACTGTCCCCCTTTCAGGAGTCTGATTTGTCTTGCGTAGCCCTGAGTTCCACCTCATTAAAAAACTCTGTGCTTACAAAATCAGACATAAAAATACAGACGTGTCCCAGCACACGATTCCTGAGAAATTGCTGACTGTCTCATATTTACCATATTAGAAAATAAATCAATTGGACTATAAATATTGTACTTACATTCAGCGTATAGTATATAGAGCAGTATGAACAAGTCGTTGTCCGTATGAAGTTTTATGTCGCACTGACTTTGCCAGTGCTTTTTAGGTAGCCTGTTGTAAAACTAGGCAAACCTCAGATGAGTTGATGTACCCCTGGCAGACCTCCCCTGGAGTACACGTACCCCTGGTTGAGAATCACTATTCTAGACCATAAACACTTCAGGGCAGGAGCTGTCGTTTAGCATGTGTTTGTACAGCACCTGACACAGCTCCAGGCTCTAAATGGTTGACGCTCAGATACCATGGGGATAAAGCTTTATGCTGCTGCCTAAGACAGGCTCAATCCTAACTGGAGCCTCTTGGTGCTAGGGCAATGGGAATAGTAATGTCTAAAACACAAGGAGGAAAAGCCACTTGACAGCGTCTCTTTCACGAGCAATGCAGAGAGATGTGCATGTGCTTGCCAGGCCTTCCCCACACCGCAGCGGGCCGCGTGCTTCCCACTGCAGACAGACAGACTGTTCGTTCTGCTCCAGCCAGAGCACTGCGGGTAGCAGCATGGTACAGGTGGCAGCTTGGCCTAGCGGAGTGAGTATCCACTCCGAGGGTCGCAAGGGATCCAGGCACTGTACTTGGGCGGCTAGCCAAAGCCACCGCCCGCGCCACTCCAGCCACACTGCTAATGCCAGCACACTCGCTCCAGCGCAGCTAGCCTGCATCTATCTCCCTGCACTGGAAAGCACCATCCCAGCTGCCAGGTGGCCGTACCCAGAGCGATCTCAAGGGTGGAACTGCACGGATGCTACACACGTCGCATTACTCCCCCTTTAGCGATTTGCAAGGGGCTTTGCCACAAGTGGAATGCAATAACCGCAATGGAAAATGAAATCAAACGCGCGTGGGGCCATTGGGCCGTGGACTGCGGGAAGGTGGCGCAAACAGGCCTGATGCTGCAGAAGTGGCAGAAAACAAGAGAAATGGGATGAGCCCCTGGTTAGGGGCACTGCAGCCTCACTGAAAAGCAGAAGCGAAAGGGGGTGAGAAAAGACACAGTTAGATCTTGTTGACAGATGTTTTCACCAGCACACGGCCTTGGGGGGAGGGAGGGAGATGGAAAAGGGCCAGAGAAACCAGCTAGAACAGCCCCGGAGCAGGAACTCCCCCGGGCAGAGCAGCTCCAGGACCCGCCCCCCACCCCCCACCGCCCCCCAGCCTCGAGAGCTGCGAGGGGTCCCTTCACAGGAGCGACCCCCCACCCAGCGATGGAGACCCCCAGCCCAGGCTCGCTCGCTCCCAGCTGCCGAGTCTGAGCTCGCCCGGCGTCCCTGGGCTCAGCCGGATCGGGCCCCGCGGGATCGGGCCCTGGGGTTTGCACACGCACACACGCACGCACACACACACGCGCGCACACACCACACACACACGCCTACCCCGTGTCTCGGATCCGGTCGGTGAGATTGGCCCAGGCGACGGCGGCGGGGTCCCAGCGCGGCACGACCCGCAGCTGGCCCGAGGCGGGGTCCAGCAGCACCGAGCTGCAGCGCGTCTCGGGCCCGGAGAGGAGCAGGGCGGGCGGCAGGAGACTCAGGAGCAGCAGCAGGGCCAGTGGGGGCGGCGGCCGGGCAGCTCCAGCCTCTCAGGTACCGGCCTGCTCCGCCCGGGCTGTGCACGGCCCCGCCGCGCTGCACAAGCCGTGACGGGGCGGCTGGAGGCGGCCCCTCTTCCAGCCGCCCGGCCCCCTTCCTGGCCACGCCTGGGGCGAGCGGCGGCGGAGCTGGCGGAGGCCCCGGAGGGGGTGGGCACCAGGCAGGGCTGTGTGCAGCTGGCGCAGGCTGCCCCCCCTCCGGCAGCATCTTCCAGTGCCTGGGCCCCCGTGCGGGTGTCATCAAACACCGGCACCCCCCATCCTCCATGGGGACCCCCTCCTGCTAGAAATCTTTCCCCGCCTCCTCTTCGGGCCTGCGAACACCCCCGGAAGCGCCTCATCAGACGCAAGCTCCCCCCAGACCAGGACACCCCAACTCAAAGTGGCACCAGACCCTGCCAGAACAACAGATGCAGAACTTGCAGGGTCTGGTGCCACCTCTCTCCACTGCTCCCATGATCAACACCCCCATTAGCAGATCCCAACATGTGGTGCACCCCCTCCAGGGCACGAAATGCCCCAATAACAACTGTGTTGGTGAAACCAGACAATCATGATGCTCTGGAATGAACTCACACAGGGAAATGATAAAAGACAGACACATAGAATCATAGGACTGGAAGGGACCTTGAGAGGTCATCTAGTCCAGGCCCCTGCACTCATGGCAGGACTAAGTATTATCTGGACCATCCCTGGCAGGTGTTTGTCCAACCTGCTCTGCAAAATCCCCAATGATGGAGATTCCACAACCTCCCTAGGCAATTGATTCCAGTGCTTAACCACCCTGACAGTGAAGAAGTTTTTCCTAATGTCCAACCTAAACCTCCCTTGCTGCAATTTAAGCCCATTGATTCTTGTCCTATCCTCAGAGGTTAAGAACAACAATTCTTCCTCCTCCTTGTAACACCCTTTTATGTACTTGAAAACTGTTATCATGTCCCCTCTCAATCTTCTCTTCTCCAGACTCTTCTCCTATCACCTGTGGGGGAACACTTTTTTCACAAATCGATCGCTCTACATCTGACCTACATCCTCAAAGGAAACCTGCACACCACCTTCAAAAGACAAGCCTGGGAGCTTAAATTCATAACTTTCCTAGACACTGCATATCCCGGATCAAAAGCCTGGTCTACACTGCGGGGGGGGGGGGGTGTCAATGTAAGATACGCAACTTCAGCTACGAGAATACCGGTGGAGTTCCGGAGTCGACGGGGAGCATGTGCGGGGATCGATATATCGCGTGTCTTGGACGCGATATATCGATCCCCGATAAATCGATCGCTACCTGCCGATACGGCGGGTAGTCTGGACGTACCCAAATAGACATACTGGATTTATGGCTTATTAGAACAATCTGTAACCCACTAATAACCCCCATGGCTGCTTCTCCCCACCCTTCCTTTTCTCCCTATGATGGGGGTGTTAATGGGACACTTTACCGTGAATGGTCCCTCAAACTGTGTATTAACTACTTATGCTAAACAATCTGTTCCACTTGTATTTAGCTGTGACACTCTGAGGCCGTGGCGGCCGTGGCTACACTCCAAACTTCAAAGCGCTGCCACCTCCATGAGGGGATTAGCTTCCAGCGCTGGGGCACTGTTTACACTGGCGCGTTACAGCGCTGCAACGTGCTGCGCTCAGGGGGGTGTTTTTTCACACCCCTGAGCGAGAAAGTTGCAGTGTAAAGCACCAGTGTAGCCATAGCCTGAGTCAGTTTCCCAGAGCTGAAGAAGAGCTTGGTGTAGCTGAAAGCTTGTCTCTCTCATCAACGTGAGTTGGTCCAATAAAAGCTATCACCTCACCCGCCCCGTCTCTCGGCTGCACCAAACACAACGGCAGGGAACCCGGGTGCCGGTGTTGCCAACTCTCATGAGTCTCAGGATAATTAGTGCTTTTCTTAAAGCCCCAGCTCCTGGAGTCAGGTGGAAGTGTGATGATTTCAGCTTTCATTCTTAAAGAAAAAGTAAGTTTCTAGCCCTCGTGGCTATGGTGAAAGCTTCAAAATGTGACCCCAGCATGGGCGGTGGGTGAACCACCGGCTGGGGGAGTCTAGCCCCCGTCTGGCCCTGCCCTCCCACCCCGTAGCCCTGCCCCCTTCCCCCATTGGAGCCTGGAGCCCCCAGCCCTGCGCTTGCCAGCCCCCCGGCCCAGAGCGCTGGGCGACACGTGGTCCTCCCGGCCCCCAAGCGCAGGGCAGGCAGCGCATGGCTCCCCCCCCCCCGATTCCCCCAGTCCCAGTGCCTCCAGCCCCAACCCCGAGCGCCATCAGGCATGGCTCCAGCCCCCATCCTCCCCTCAGTGCTGGGCGGCCCCAAGTCCCAGTATCACTGAGGAGGAGCAGCCTGCCTGGGCTGGGGCCAAGGGGGAAAGGGCAAGCAGGAGGGGGCTTCGGGGAGGACCATGGGCGGGGTCATGTAGGGCTGTTTGGGGAGGCACAGACTTTCCCAGCCTATTGGATGCCCCACCCCTGGGCCCCAGTGCCCCCTAGGGGCTCAAAGAGCAGAGGGGAAATAAAAAGAACAGCAAATCTAGTCTTTTTACATAATCTCACGCTTTTAAAGCCAATCTCGTGATTGTTGGTGAGCCCCACCCATGATTTTTGAACATTTGGGGTTGGCAATCGAGCAGGCCGCACAGGGAGAAGCCAGTGGCAGAGTCGAGTTGCCAGGGACAGAGGGGCAAGGCTGTCCCACAGATGGGCTGTTCCTTGTGTTCAGGGTTGGTTCTTGGCTTCTTTGCAGATGTTTAAAGACAGTCCGAAAGGTCCAGACTGGGCAGGGATGCAGTACAACCACACGCGTCAGAGCCAGGTCAGCCACAAGAAGACCCACAGGTAATGGGAGATTCACCCACCAGGGAATGGGCTGTTTTATTACCTAGCTCCAGTGCTACCAGGCATGGCGGACAACCTACTTTGTGCGGAGGGGGTAATACCACGGAGGCTCTATTTGAAAAATCAGAGGGAGTTTTGCCCTTGACTTCAACAGGGCTGTTTTAGCCCTTGCTCAATCTCAGCTCCTGCCATGACAGTGCAAGTGTGTGGTTTGAAGAGCGCCCGAGATTTGCTTGAACCAGCCCTGCCAGCTGTAACGAAAAACATGCAGAGACTGTATCCACTCAGGGGAGACACTTGGTGCTTCAGGACAGCTGGTGACTTGTGACCTTCGCTCTCTGACTCAGATGCACCTGAGATGTGGTTTCCAGCGCCCTCTGCTGGATGGACTCAGTACAAACACCACCCACTCCAGCATGGGTTGGCTCTGGGATCTGCACTGGTTCCAGTATGTTTCCAAGGGGAATGGTTTTAAAGCCCTCGATCATTCGGGACCTGGTTGCCTGCGTCTCTCCCCATGCAGCTGCCCTCGGTACGGGCACTTGAGAAAGAAAAAAAAAACAAAAAATGTCAGGCTTTTGTTAGAGAAGCCAAAGAGGGCACTTGGAACTCAGCCCCTCTCCCTGGCCTCAGGCGGTCCCTTGGAAGTACACTGGCCCTTTACGACCTTGCTCTCCTAACCTTCTAGTTCAGTGGCTCTCAGCCTTTGTAGACTACTGTCCCCCTTTCAGAAGTCTGATCTGCTTTGCCTACCCCCACGCTTCACCTCACTTAAAAACGACTTGCTTACAAAGTCAGACATAAAAATACCAAAGTGTCACAGCCACACTATTACTATACAAACCCGGGGTGTGAGTTCCAAGCTGCTTTGACCCACAGAATCCACGTTCATACCTAAAAATAGATCCTTCTTTCTCAAATATTTCTACATACCGGGTACGTTTTCCTTTATATCCCTTCTCAGTTTGCTAAACTCACGGCTGCTGCCTGTATTTTAATATACCTTAGGGGGGAGGGATAGCTCAGTGGTTTGAGCATTGGCCTGCTAAACCCACAGTTGTGAGTTCAATCCTTGAGGGGGCCACTTGGGGATCTGGGGCAAAATCAGTACTTGGTCCTGCTAGTGAAGGCAGGGGGCTGGACTCAATGACCTTTCAAGGTCCCGTTCAGTTCTAGGAGATGGGATATCTCCATTAATTGCTTGTTTCTTTTCTTACCTTAATACAGTTAATCTCTCTTGGCTCAGGTCTCCCTACCTTCCTAGGTTGCTCTTCATCCCCCTTCCCCCACCTCTCCTCACTTCTGCTCTCTCTCTTTGCTTAAGTTATTGTTTTTCAAAATATAAAGCAATTTAAAACAGAACAAAACAACAAACCAAGGTAAAAACTTTACTTTAAATAAATCCCGTAAATTAATTATTTTAGCCCTTCAGAAATGCAACAGCTGGAATTACTCCTAACTTTCTTAAAGATATGGTTGCCAAGCAACAAAAATGCAGACTCTGCTTCTAATCCTAACCACTAACTAATCTTTGAAACATGGGCTTTCCTTATTACCACATAGCAAAGTTTTAAAATAAAGTTAATATAAAGTAATACAAAATGCCTGAAGTTACTAACTTAATACAAGCAGAGCTGGGACAGCACACCGAAATACTATCAAATAGTAATTATAAAATTGAAATATAACGATTGTACTTACATTTCAATATAGAGCCGTATAAACAAGCCATTGTCTGTAGGAAATTTTAGTTTGTACTAACTTTGCTAGTGCCTTTTCTGTAGCCTGTTGTAGAACTAGGCAGATATCTAGATGAGTTGATGTACCACTGGCAGACTCTGCGTACCCCTGGTTGAGAATCACTGGTCTAGTTCAACTCCAGTTATCCTCAGACTCCTAGGTCAAATCCTGCCCCCTCAGGCCTGCTAGCCTATTTTGAATGAGCCTTATTCGTATTTGTTATTTCTATTTTAGAAGCTCCCAAAGGCCCCATTTAAAACAGAGATCCCCCGGTGCTAGGCGAGCATACAGCGAGGGGCAGTCCCTGCCCTGGAGCGCTTACAGTCTAAAGAGACACGTCAGACAGAGGGTGGGAGGGGAAACAGACAGGCCCAGAGAGGGGCAAATTGCCTGTGTCAGTGGCAAGAGACCCAGGTGTCCTGAATCCCAGTCCAGCTGCCCATGAGCAGGAAATATTGCACAAAAGGGTGAGTCGGACCTGCGCCTCTTCCCCGAGGTGAGAGCTGCACAGCATGGAGAAAGCTTTCCTGACATTGCATTGTGATGCCCTTGGCATGGAGCAAAGAGTGTTGCTTTGAAATCACATCTGCGGTTGGAGATCCTGCTGTGAGCTCTCTCTGATGGGCACCAGGGCACATTTTTGCAGTTCTGAGTTCTCAAGGAGGCTTGATCTGTACGGCAAAGGCATTTGTAACTTTCCTGAACACAACAAACCCAGTGCCCCAGGGTGGCTGGGTTCATTCTTTGCTCAGTTAAAAGCATATTTTTTTCCCCTTAAAGGCATGTGATTTTAGTGGGTAATTTAACAAGGTGGGAAATTGACCCTTTAAGCTCTTAAGGCTCTTATGTCGCCAACAGCCAGGCTTCTGTTTTCCCATTATCAGCTCCCTGGGCTGGGCTGAGAGGTCTCTTATCTGATCAGTGTTGTCCCATGAGCACCGGGAGGGGGAGGAAGCAGGAAGCACAAAATCAAAGCCAAGCACAATGACTTGGCCTCAGCTGGCAATGCAGGAGAATCAAGTGTGGATGCAGGATGATCTTCTTCCCAGCCTGGGGAGGTGGGAGCAGGGCAGGCTGGAGATGCAAGATGGTCTAGGTTTGGTTGCCAAGGAAGAAGGGGCAGGGCCAGAAAGGACTGCAGCGCCTCCTGCTGGAAGATCCGTGAACTGGTGCCCTTGGCTGAAGACCTTCTGCCTTGTAATGCGGAAGAAAAAGAAGGTGCCATTTGGGGTGAACCAGCTCATAAAGAACACGCCACCTCCTCCCCCGGAACAGGAGGTAGATGGCTGGGTCCAATACTTGCTATGGACCATTCTAAAGCAAAGGTCTCTACAGGCGTTGTCCCATGCCCTCCTGTTTGTTCAGTATGGCCTACGCAGCCGGAGGTGTACTATCCTGATAGCATGTTCTCCGGGGGTTCAGCTATCCCGGGGAGGAGTGTAGTCCATGAAGCAGAGTAGAACAGCAAACAGGGCTTGGGTTGTGACCTTTCATGCAAAATCATCCCAGGATTTATGCTGAGCCTAGTGCATGAGAGGAGAAGGCGTTAGGGACTGCTGTGTGGATACCGATGCAATGCAGACCTTGCCAGGCACCTCACCATCAGGTCTCAGTGCCTGATGTAAGGAGCTCCCAGACACCTGTGACTCTCCATGTGAGCTGTCTTTTTGTCCTGTGTCTGTACAGCACCTAGCACAATGTAACTGGGGCCTATAGGCCTGACATCAATAATCGTCATTAACAATTAGCTAACAGCGCCTCTGCCCCAGCTCCACCCATTTGCTCTCTGGAGGGGCTGAAGACACAATCAGTGATGGGCCCTTGTCATCACCAGGCCCTTAAGCTTTGTTCCAATCCCTTGGGGTTGCTGCTGCTCCCCAGAGGTAGGAATGGAACCCAGGTGTCCTGACTTCCTGTCCCCTGCTCTAACTGCTAGGAAATGCTTCCTCTTGGTGAGGGCTTCTCTGTCAGTCTTGATTCATAAGAACTTCAGAGCCAACGTTGGGATCATCCCAGATTGTCCTGGAAGGATGTGGATAAACTCTACGTCCTGTCCTCAGGGAAGAATCGCACATGATGGGTTGAGTGGGGCACTAGTGCGGGTTTAACCAATTGGTGGAGGCCCCCATCTGGGTGGCTGCACCCAGTGCGTGTGTATCCTGCCTGTGACTGTCACCCCTGGAGGCTCAGCTCAGCACCCCTGAGGTTTGCAGACACAGCGTTCCTGGGGCAGTTGGAAGAGCAGAACCTGGGCTGAAGTTGGAAGCGCATTGGGGATGCTGGAAGAGTGGGATGTGCTGCTGACCTGGTTTCAGCTGGAAGCGGGCCTTTGGATTGCTAGCTGCGTGATAGTCAAAGGGGCAGTGGTTCACACAATCAGCCAGGGAGCGTCCCATTTATAGCCACTCCAATGTAGCGACACGGATACAAACCCTCACGCAGACAGGCGAAGTCTCTGTAAGCTGCGATGTGCACTGGTGGGTTCAGAGCCACCCCGCTCACCCCTGCGCTTCGAGCCAAGCTAGCCAGCTATCGCTAAAGCTTAATAGATGGTGACACTGTCTGTCTCTCAGGAGCCAGGACACCCCATCCACAGCCAGATTTTAAACCGTAGGCGTTACAGAGTGGTCATTTGCCAGGCACCCCCTTGTGGCCAGAGGTGTTTCCGCAGGGCCCTCCCTCTGCCCGTCTCTTAGGGCTCTCTCTCAGGTCAGTAGCCCAAAGTAATTCAAAATAATCCTCGGTGTCCCAAACGCAAAGCCCACCATAGCAGTGCCATCGTTCACACCCGTCACCAATGCTCCTGTCTTCCATGGGCCCCTTCTCCTGCTCGGCAGCAGCCCAGCCTCCTGGCTCAGCCGTCCTTCCTCCGTCCCTGGGCACTCTTTCCAGAGGGAAGGTGGCATATATGGTACGAACCTTCTGAAAGCCTCTCCCGGTTGGCTGGAAGGTGGGGGAGCCCTTCTCCCACCCTGCACTACAGGGCTCCTCATCCCAGACCTATAAAGTGGCAATGTTCCATCCCACTGCTAACACCTCCTCTCTTCCAGTTTTGGCTGTTTTGTAAGCCTGTGCTCACACCATCCTCCTGGATGCAGGGTCTTCTTGTCCCCCTAAGGTTTAACTGACGCCCTGTCACAGAAGGTCTGGAACCACAGATGCAGAACGTGTCTGCCGAGACGGGCCTTATTTGCACGTGTAGCTATCAAGCCTGAGCACATGATGTGGTTGCCTGCGCTACCAGGGGACTGGATCTGATGACCCAGGGAGGCCCCTTCCAGCCCTGTGTCCTAAGCAGCTTGCAAATTGGAGGCACAAATGATCAGAAACCTGTGAAATGATCCCATTTGCACATCCAGTCACAGTAATTGTGCTTGCAAATTAGGCATGTAGCAACTAGTGCCCACAGATTGCATGCAGTGCTGTACACCTAAATCACTGGGAATCCTAGCCCCAGGTGACTGCTCAGGTTAGGGGTCACAGAGTTTGCAGGTCTTGTCATTTAGCATTTTACTGCAGGCTGCCCAACCCAGACTTGGATGCAGGAAGAAGTGAGGAGCTGCAGCACCAGGAGACTATATCTGGAGTAATTCCAGGCTTTTTCAACGTCCCCCAGACCTGTGAAAACTAGGGCATTGTGTGAAGGGTGGAGGGGGATAGGGAGAGGTATGAATTAGTGACGAGGCGACAGCAGCACCTAATCACAACCCCTTCTCCTCTCTCTAGTTCAGACAGGCTGTCCCGCCTTGGCCAGCCCCACCCTCTGGAGCTCAGGGAGGCAGCAGAACGCCCTTAAACCAGAGCAAAGCAAGCCAAGTGAAAATTCGACAAGCTGAAGGACTGTGGAGACCAGGAAACTGGCCCAAGGGAGAAAGGCGTGTACAGCTCCAAGGGGGAATACAGAGGTCAGCAGCATGGGAGCCGGGGCTGACTCACAGAAGGGGTCTACAGTTTTCAGTGTCAATAACTTTATTGGCATGACAAGGGTGAGGCTTATGGAAGTGCTTGGCTGCCAACTGGCATTACCCCACCCATCCCCTCTGCCTGCCCTTTACACGGAGACACCCTCATGTGGGATGCCAATGCCTCTTGAGTGCATTTCAATGAGACACGCCAAGTCTTCCTTCCTATTTCATACTTGGGTCTTGGGAACGGTGGTTTAGTTTCCCAGCCGGGAAATGTGGGGGGGGAAGGGTGCTGCCGAAGCCCCCGTTCTGTTATGCAGAGGCATGGGAACTGCATCGCTGAAGAAAGAAGATCTCACGCCCAGAGTGGCTCCCAAACACCACACATACTCCACAGCTTAGCAGCCCCTTGTACCTATCTCATAGAGCTGGAAGGGACCTTGAAAGGTCATTGAGTCCAGTCCCCTGCCTTCACAGCAGGACCAAGTACCATCCCTGACAGATTTTTGCCCCAGATTTGATGGAATAGAAATAGACCAGATAGACAAAAGTGAGTTTAAATGACAGTAAATATGTATTAGATATAAAAATCTGAAACCATTCTCACAATTACAGGACAAATTTCATTTAGCTACACATAATTTTATCAAGCAGTTATATCGCTTATTTAAAAATATCATTATTTGCTGAAAAGTGATAGTAAACAAAATCTCAGAGAATCTCAGGGTTGGAAGGGACCTCAGGAAGTCATCTAGTCCAACCCCCTGCTCAAAGCAGGACCACTCCCCAGACAGATTTTTACCCCAATTCCCTAAATGGCCCCCTCAAGAATTGAACTCACAACCCTGGGTTTAGGAGGCCAATGCTCAAACCACTGAGCTATCCCTCCACGTATAGCTCTATAGCTATGTGCAGCACCTAGCACAATGGGGCCCTGGTCTGCACTGGCACTCCTAC